TGGCGAAGGCTCATGGCCTGAGTCCCAGTTCAACTGTTGTTGAACTTAGTCCATTTTGATGGCGAAGGCGCATAGCCTGAGTCCCAGTTCAACTGTTGTTGAACTTAGTGGTGAAGGCGCATAGCCTTGATTCAATGGCGAAGGCGCATAGCCTGAGTCTTAGTTCAGCTGTTGTTGAACTTAGTCGATTTTGATGGCGAAGGCTCATGGCCTGAGTCCCAGTTCTACTGTCGTTGAACTTTGTCGATTTTGATGGCGAAGGCTCATGGCCTGAGTCCCAGTTCAACTGTTGTTTAACTTAGTGGCGAAGGCGCATATCCTTTATTCAATGGCGAAGGCGCATAGCCTGAGTCCCAGTTCAATTGTTGTTGAACTTAGTGGTGAAGGCGCATAGCCTTGATTCAATGGCGAAGGCGCATAGCCTGAGTCCCAGTTCAACTTTTGTTGAACTTAGTGGCGAAGGCGCATAGCCTTGATTCAATGGCGAAGGCGCATAGCCTGAGTCCCAGTTCAACTGTTGTTGAACTTTGTCAATTTTGATGGCGAAGGCGCATAGCCTGAGTCCCAGTTCAACTGTTGTTGAACTTTGTCGATCTTGATGGCGAAGGCGTATAGCCTGAGTCTTGGTTCAACCGTAGTTGAACTTCTTGGAAAAGGCGCATAGCCTGAGTCCCAGTTCAACTGTTGTTGAACTTTGTCGATCTTGATGGCGAAGGCGTATAGCCTGAGTCTTGGTTCAACCGTAGTTGAACTTCTTGGCGAAGGCGCATAGCCTTGATTTAATGGCGAAGGCGCATAGCCTGAGTCCCAGTTCAACTGTTGTTGAACTTTGTCGATCTTGATGGCGAAGGCTCATGGCCTGAGTCCCAGTTCAACTGTTGTTGAACTTAGTGGCGAAGGTGCATAGCCTTGATTCAATGGCGAAGGCTCATAGCCTGAGTCCCAGTTCAACTGTTGTTGAACTTAGTGGCGAAGGCGCGTAGCCTGAGTCCCAGTTCAACTATTGTTGAATTTAGGCGAAGACGCATAGCCTTGATTCAATGGCGAAGGCGCATAGCCTGAGTCTCAGTTCAGCTGTTGTTGAACTTAGTGGCGAAGGCTCATGGCCTGAGTCCAATATTGTGGGTATTGAGTGCTGAAGCTCGGTTTTGATTCGAGACCTTGAGCGGCTTATCCGTTGTCTTTCCAACCAGGGTATATAGGCTGTCTTGAGGCGACTCTCGGCTCAAGATATCTCCTTGCCGGTTTCTAGCCGGAGCTCGTATCAGGGATGCGGGAGATGCCTTACAGAGATCTTCCCTTAGGAGGGGCTTCTTCTTCTTCTTTGCACTATCCGAGATCAGAGAGAGAGAGGACTTGGATCTTGATTTGAGATCTTCGAGTTCCCCTTGTCCGACATGCCGCTTTGGCTTATTTGAGCTGGGTTGCTTTTGTTTTCCTTTTCTGGCGTTTCTTCCTTTTTGGTCCAGGGAAGAACTACGCGATTTTGCTAGGAAATCCCCACAGACGGCGCCAAATTGTTTGCTCAAATGTTATCACATACCTTATGAGTATAAAACAACGTAATTAAATCACGGGAAAATCATAGCAAAACGTAATAATCCATTGGACCAAATGAAGGAAACGAAAATAAGTACTCAGAGTTAGGAGGAGAAACATGAAAATCCTTTATTGATAATGTTGATTTGGCCTGCCTCTCCATGAGGAGGTTTAGGGCCTTACAATGGTGTTCTCCTCTCTCATAATATGGGTCTCATTGTGTTTTTTCTCTTTTTTCTGGATCGTGACCAAGAAGGAGCCCCCCCCCCCCTTAATATGGTTCCCTCTCTTGGTATTTATAGCTGTGAGCTTCGTGAGCTGGCAATAAGTGGCCGCGACCACGTTGGGGTTTTGCCTTCATGATGACGAATGGGTCGTGGCCTTGTTGATCGAATCAGATAAGGGTTGAATACCGTTAATTCTGAGTGCTCGTACCACTAATTAATCATGAATTAGCTTAAGACGGGATTAGCTTCGTTAATTATCGGGGGGCGGATTCTGACCCATACAAATTATATTCGTTTTATGTTTATTATCTTTATTGTTGAATATTTTAGTACAATGTCATAACTCATCTCATATTTTATGTTATTTTCTTGAAAAACACCTTATATAGTTATGTCTTACTAGGATCAAAGAAATATTTGGAGCACAAATTCTGTGTTTTGTGCTATGAAGACTTTATGGAAAAAAACCAAAAATAACCTGAAAACCCGAGAAAACCAAGATTTAAAAACTCGACTTTTATCGGTTTAGTTTGGTTTTTAGATTTAATAACCTGACAAAATTAGTTTGATTTGGTAATTTAAAAAATCCGAACCAACCCGACCTGTGTACACCCCTAATTATTTTAACTGTTCACATTGATATTTATACTCAAATTATTATCACGCAAAGTTTATATGTAACTCACGTGGACATAAAAGATACTTATTTCGAATACGTGATTTGTGCAATACTCTATATTACTCTCTGGTCATAATTAAAGTTTGGGAAAGAAAAAAGTTTTCAGCTTGCAAATTATATTTTACATTATTAAATCTCTTAATTCCATCGTATATGTTGTGACATGCCAAAAAGATGAAGAGTAGTGGTCATTCAAACACTTGACGTCCCGATTACGCCCCAATGGTAATTGTTCGGGGCACGAAATTAGAAGGAAGTTAGAGAAAAGCTGAAGCGATCACATGGCAAAATGATGAGGCCTTTGGCTGACTTCTCAATTACGAATCTTTTTTCTAATGACATTTTCTTGTAAGGAAAGACTTTTATTTAAAGCAAATATGTAAATACATATTAAGAATCATTGCAATACGAGACTAACCTAGGCAATGTAGTACTCGACTGCTTGTGCTGTCTTTCTGATGACACTAACTAGCTAGTTATAATAGAGATTTGGTTTAAGAATATGCTTTTCCAGATCCCCATCGTTTGGATGCATTTAAAGCCTAGAGGGAGAAATTAAAAAATAGCTAGATTTATAAATGGTCGTTCAAAAATAGCTCAGTTTCAAAAGTAATCGAAATTTAGCCACTTTTCATGTAAAGATAAATCTGAGCGAAAACACTGTTCAAAACCCGGAAAATACACCAGTATATTATGCTGGAGTTCCAGCATAAGTATACTTGAACTCCAGCATATTATACTGGAGTTCCAGGATAAGTATGCGGGAACTCCAGCATAATATGATGGAGTTCCAACATAAGTACACTAGAACTCCAGCATAATATACTGGAGTTCCAGCAAAGTATACCGGTCCAGTATAATATGCTGGAAGTTCATACACAAGTGCTCGAATCTCCAGTATATTATGCTGGAACTTTCCGTGTGTTGGAGTTCCAGCATAATATGCTGGAAGTTCATACACAGGTGCACCGAACTTCAGTATATTATGCTGGACCGGTCTCTATTGCAGCAAAATAATGGTTATTTTTCATTAACTTGGTAAACGCTGGCTATTTTTGAATGACCAGTCCGAAAACTGGCTAGACCGTGCTATTTTTACGAGCCTAGAGCATAATTGAATTCGGACAGATTTCGTTTTTACAATTATGGGTAGTGTGCAATGGTTTCGATAAAATCTCGTTTGTCTAACAATCTTAGATATTTTTGTTTAAACAAAAAAAAAAGATAAAATTTTGGATATGATCAATATATAGGGTGAAATATGATATGACACGTGGTCATCTAAAGAAAAGACACGTGGAACCCAAGACGGGGATGGCCGAAGACCGAACGCAGCTATTCCGCTTGTCACCGGAAGGGATAACGTTCATAAAGGTATATTAAATGCTCTGCGACCGGTAGCATTTAATAAAGAATATTCTGCAGCAATAAGAGCGACGGCCTGTTACAGAGAATTTGGCATTTATGTTCACTGTTACATCTTCATCAATGGCTCTCATAATTGACATTAAAAGAGGGCACGATCCTAGAACCTCCTTCCCTAGACACAACTATAAATAGTGAGCCCAGTTATCATTGTAAAGGACATGAATTTTCTGGCTAACTTACATTACATTCTATACAAAGCTTAATACAATTTTACTTTCTCGCTCTTTGATCTCATCATTGTTGTGCCCGGAAACCTTGTTCCCAGAACTGTCATCGCTGCTGTTTCATCTACATTTTAAGGCTAAGTATTGTATAATTCTTCAATTATTTTATTATTTCATGATCAAATTAATTTATATATCTAGAAATCACGTATAAATTTTACTATATCGTTTTTCGGGTTAACAATCAGATTGGACTTATCAACGTGGTAATCCTCTTATTTATTTTCAAGACTTGGTATTCCCTTTTCTTGCACAAACTAGTATTTTACAAGTCAACGAAGCATAATTATTTTCATTATGCGGACTTGGTGGTAAATTGTTTTAGATTTAATCGTACATATGTTACTTTTGTTATGACATTTTTTATTTTAGAACCTGTTAGAACAGAAAATGAAACTAAGAAAATGAACTTTTGGAAATTCCTCTTCTTATTGGTCTGTTCTGTTTATAGCTGTACAGTGTATATTTATATACAAAATCAATGTACACACATAACCGCCTAACCCTTTCCACTAACTATCTAAACAAAAGGTGAGTTTACACAAATACCCTTAGAACATTCTAGAAAACATGTAAGACATAGAGGACTGAAATGTGATAGCACCCACCATCAGCTAGGTTATCTCACTTGTATTTTTGGGTGTATCGACATTACTTTCCTCCATAGCCGATCTACTGTCAACACCCCCCCCCCCCTCAAGTTGGAGGGGGAGGAGAACACCCCCAACTTGCCTAAAAGAGCACGATGGTGAGGATCAGAAAGGGATTTAGTGAAGAGATCGGCGAGTTGAGAGTGAGTAGGAAGAAAAGAGAGAGAAATGAGGCCGGCCTGAAACTGTTGCCGGACAAAATGGAAATCAAGTTCAACGTGCTTGGTCTGTTCGTGAAAAATAAGTTTTTTAACTATGTGGATCGCAGCTTGACTATCAAAAAGAAGGGGAACAGGCAAAGAAGGAGAAACGGAAAGGTCATCCAAGAGACGAACAAGTCAGGTAAGCTCAGCCCAACACGACGCATCGAGCGATACTCGGCTTTGGCAGAGGAAAAAAAGACGGAAGGCTGTTTCTTGGATTTCCAAGAAACAGGGCTACCACCCAGACTTATGAAGAAGCCACTGACGGAGCACCGGGAGTCAGGGCAAGTACCCCAATCGGAATCACAAAAAGCAAGAAGGTCAAGAGAGGGAGAGGAATTAAGAAAGATCCCTAAACCAGGGTCATTGAGGAGAGAGCGAAGGCAGTGTTTAGCAGCGGAAATGTGAGGAAGACGAGGGTCCTGCATATATTGACTAAGATGTTGGACAGTAAAAGAGTGGTCAGGGCGTGGGTGTGTTAAAAAATTGAGCTTTCCCAACAAACATCGATAAAGAGATGGATCAGGTAAAGGCTCCCCAACGCCAGAGAATAATTTGCAAGAAGGGTCGAGGGGGGAAGTGGCAGGAGTGAGATCAAAGTAGTGAAACTTAGCCAAAAGCTCAAGCACAAACTTGCGTTGGCTCAGAATCAATCCTGATGGCTCACGTAGAACCTCCATGCCCAAGAAGAAAGATAAGTTTCCTAAATCTTTAATCGTGAATTCAGAGTCTAAGAACTGTTTGAGGTCCTGTAATTCTTGAAAATTATTCCCAGTAAGTAGAATATCGTCCACATAAAGAGCGACCAAAGAAATAGAATCCCCAGCCTTTTTATAGAATAAAGAGTAGTCGTTGAGCGAATGAGAGAACCCCTTAAAATTCAAAGCAGCAGTTAAGCGGGCATACCGTTGCCTAGACGCCTGCCGCAAACCATAGAGTGACTTTTTAAGACGACACACCATATTGGGAGAGGGGGAGAAAGACCAGCAAGGAATTTCATATAGACTTCTTCAAAAAGATCCCTATGTAAAAAGGCGTTATTGCCATCTAATTGATACAACCCTCATCCCTTTTTAACAGCAATAGCTAGAATACACCATATGGTGGTCATCTTGACCACGAGGGAGAATGTCTCAGTAAAATCTATTCCTTCCCTTTGAGCATCACCACGAATAATTAGTCAAGCCTTTAGTCTTTCCACAGACCCATCAGATTTGAGTTTCACCTTATAAACCCATTTACAAGGGAGTGCTTTCTTCCCTGGAGGAAGAGGTACAACATCCCAAGTCTCATTAGCCAACAAAGCGTCAATTGTTAGTCATTGCTTCCTGCCAACCAGGGTGCATGGCTGCTTGAGAGAAAGAGTGAGGTTCCCGAATGTGGGGAATAGAATTAAGAAGAGTCTGGTTAGAGGGTGAAAGGGCAGTGAAAGAGTAGTGAATAGGGGTCACAGGAGTGAGAAAGCAGGGAGTAGACACATCAGTTAGGTAGACAACCCCACAAATGTAATCAGAAAGATAGGAAGGTGTTTTGTGTTCCCTAAAAGATCTGCGAAGGGCAGTATCCAGGACCAAAGAATGAGGTGGGATGCTAGGTTCAACACTAGGAACAGAAATAGGAACAGAGAGAGGTGAAGAACTTGATGTCCCAGGAATCTGTGTAGAAGAATAGGTTGGAGCATTAGCTTCAGAAGAAATATGAGGAGCAGGAGTAGGAGAAGGGACAAGACTGTTAATAGGAAGAGTGTCATGTGAATCATTAGGTTCAGAAGACATATGAGGAGCAGCAGTAGAAGAAGGTACAGGAATGTGGAGAGGAAGGGTGTCATGTGAATCATTAAGTACATGCATGGAAGGAAATAAAGGGGTGACAGTGGTAGAGATTAGAGCAAAGGGATAGATAGATTCATGAAAAATCACATCCCTAGAGACAAAAATATGTTTAGGTGATAGGTCCAAAAGGTTAAATCCCTTTTTACCAAAGGGATATCCAAGAAATACACAAGCTTTGGCTCTTGGATCCAATTTACCTCCTTGATGTGGTAGAGTAGAGGCAAAACAAAGGCATCCAAAATATTTGAGAAAAGAGTAATTAGGTGGTTTGTGAAAGAGAAGTTCAAAAGGTGTTTTATAATTCAATAGCTTTGAAGGATATCTATTGATCAGAAATGTGGTTGTAAGTAAGCATTCTCCCCAATTGACAATAGGTAAGTGAGACTGAAATAGGAAGGCTCTACATACCTCTAATAGGTGTCTATGTTTGCGCTCTACTACACCATTTTGTTGAGGTGTAGCAACACAACTTGTTTGATGAATGATTCATTTGGAAAGAAAATAAGCAGTTGCACTAATGCTAGAGCCAAGCTCCAAGGCATTATCAGATCTAACCTTTTTGACTTTGGTGTTAAACTGCCTTTCCACCATAGAGATGAAAGATTTGAGTATGGTAAAAGCATTCCCTTTTGTGCTCAGAAGATAGGTCCATGTACCCCTACTAAAATCAACTACAATTGTAAGGAAATATTTGAAACCATCATGGGTGGATGTTTTATATGGACCCCATGTATCAATATGAATAAGCTCAAATATTTTGGTAGAAGAAATACAGCTGTTAGGAAAAGGCAGCTTATGTTGCCTAGCTAAGGGGCAAATTGTACAAGGAATTGTAGTTTTATTGATAGGGAAATGTGGTAAAGCAGTAACACTTTTTATGCTAGTAATTGGCATATGGCCTAGTCTAATGTGCCATACATTTTGACAATAATCAATAGACTTAGACATAGAGTGAATAAAAGAGTTGATGCTAGTATCTGCAGTAGATGAAAAAATAGTATTGGCAGATTTGACTAAGTGTCCAGAAGGATAGTGTTTTGATCGTAAGATGTACAGTCCATTACTGAGTCTACCAAGATCCAAAGGCCTCTTCAAGGGAAGACCCTGCATAGAGCAGAGAAAAGCACTGAAAGTTAGATCACAACCAAGTTGGTAGCAAAACTTGTGAACAGATAACAAGTTGAATTTAAAGGAAGGGACATATAGGACTCTGTCTAAAGTCATGTCTGGAAATAGAGACACCTTTCTAGCATGAGTGACTTTGATTTTGAAATAATTTGGTATATTAACGGTTAAAGGCTGAGTTAGGGCTATGATATCAAATAGGATAGATTTATCAAAAGTCATGTGCTCAAAAGCACCTGAGTCAAGGATCCATGAGTGTATAAAGGACTTATCAGAAAGTAAAGAAGGCAGAATAGGAGCTATACCAGCACAATTAGCAGTTACATTAACTTCACAATTTGAAGCAACTTGTTGACCAATTTTGACTTGTTGTAAAATTTCCATAAGCTGAGAATATTGATCCTGCCTTATTCCCACAATACTTGGTGAAATACTGTTATGTTGAGTTCCCTGATTTGAGGTTCCTTGCACATCAATAAAATCTTCTTCTGTGGACATTGCATTTCCCTGTATAATGTTTGAACTCTGAAATTTTCTTGGCTTGTTTCCTTGCATATTTGTCTTAAAACCTGTCGGATAACCATGAATTTTGAAGCATCTCTCTACTATATGCCCATGTCTTTGGCAATAAGAACAGAACATATTCCTTTTGTCATTTCCCTTTGTTGCATTATACGTGTTTCCTCCTCCAGTATTTACATTGAAATTCATTCTCCCTTGTCCAGTATATTGACCAAACTTTTGTGTAGAAGCATTAAAGGAACTCAAATCCATAGGTGACATTACTGAAGGTTGAATAGATCTCTGCCTTTCTTCTTGAAGGAGAAGAGAGTAGGACTTATCAATGTTTGGCACAGGGTTCATCATCATAATGTTCCCTCTACAAGTAGTGTATGTCTCATTTAAGCCCATAAAAAACTGAACTAGTTTTTATCTTTCCTCAATTGCTTTATTCTTATGCTTTGCTTCACATGTGCATTCAACACAAGTACATGGAACTCTTGCATCCAGTGCATTCAGTTCATCCCATATTGCTTTTATATTATTAAAGTATGTTGCTATGTCATTAGAACCCTGTATAGTCTCTAATAGTTTCTTTTACAGGCCAAATAATTGAGCCACATCAGATTGTCCATACCTGTCCTCAAGTTGCTTCCAAAGGTCCCTGGCTGAATTAGAATGTAGAACACTGGATCTAATTCCTTTTGTCAATGAATTCAATAACCAAGCCATCACCATATTGTTGCAGCGTATCCAAATCTCGAAGTAAGGAGAGTTATTTCTAGGTTTTGGAATTCTTCCATTGATTATCCCCAGCTTGTTCTTAGCTGATAAGGTGATCAGCATGAATTTTCGCCAATCGGCATATCCAGTGCCATCAGACGGAGTAAACACCAAATTTATTCTAGGATTGTCTGAAGGACTCAAGTACAAAGGATGAGAACTATCAACAACAACTTGATTTTCTACAAAAGGATTCTCGTCCGCCATTGTTATCAACAGAATTGAAGCAAAAAAATCAGATTGAATTGAAGAAGTAGTGAAATCAATAGGATATCAGAAGATCTAAGTTGAAATTGAACTGAGATCCAAACACAAATCATAAAACTTTGTAGAACAATCTAGAAGAAAAGGAAAACCGAGCACCTTTTCTCTGATACCATGTTAGAACAGAAAATGAAATTAAGAAAATGAACTTTTGGAATTTTCTCTTTTCTTATTGCTCTGTTCTATTTATAGGTGTACAATATATATTTATATACAAAATCAATGTACACACATAACCGCCTAACCCTTTCCACTAACTATCTGAACAAAATGTGAGTTTACACAAATACCCTTAGAATATTCTAGAAAACGTGTCAGACATAAAGGACTGAAATGTAATAGCACCCGTCATCAGCTAGGTTATCTCACTTGTATTCTTGGGGTGTATCGACATTACTCTCCTCCATAGCCGATCTATTGTCAACAGAACCCAACAGAAAAGAAAATAAAAGGCTATTGCCTTTTATGAAATTTTATTATTTTGAGATTGATATTGAATAATGTTCCATTAATGTATATTGATTTAATTAGTGGGAAAATTGGAAAATCATTTATCCTCTCCTTATCTTTGGCTTAAATTCCAGATAGTTCGTTACCCTTTTCTCAATGCTGAAGAAGAAAAACGTTCCTTTTCTTTCCCTATATATGGCTGTTGCTTGGCCAAAAATAATGACGCTGGTCGATATACTATAGTTTCTTTATTAAGATCGTTATAGATTATTATACATGTATTCTATTATCGAATTTATATTCCCTGGAATAAAGTAGAAGATCAACATAAGAAATCGACGTTCTTCGCACCATGCAAATTTCTTAATGATAAGTTATACGTCTTTTGCTTTGATGATTTGACAAACTTCATGGAAGAACCAGATAATGAACCTGATACAATTAGTTCCCTTGCGTTTAGAGTAACTAGTCAGATGTCTGGTTCAATTCTCAATGAAATCAGATAAGGGAACAACAGAAGAAACAGATAGGGATCAGTTCCTCTGGTCCTCGTGCAGTCAACTCTACAGTTGTAAAAGCTGCTGCACTATACCATCTAACAGCAGTACAGCAGCACAACTATAGCTTATTAAGGCCAAACAAAAGGAAACTCCCTTGCATCATCTCTCATGACCTCACTCATATATTATCAACATGAGGCAAGGGGTTTCGTTCAACACTTGCAAATCAACCTCTCTTAAAAATAAAGTTGCTATAACCTCAAGGACCAGATCCAGAGATTGAAGATATCTTAAGTCCTTAGGTTTGTAGAGTCTTTGTCTTTTTGTTTTTCATTTGTAATCCTGCACTATTTTCAAGAAGTGTCTTTGTAGGACAGATTTCAACCATTGTTTGGTTTGGTTTCTTGACTAGAGTTAGTCAAGGTTTGTTGCTTTGTAATAAAGTTATTCCAAAGGGCTTACAATAGAGTTATTGTAAGGAGTGAGTTATTAAGAGTTTAATTCCTA